GTGCCCTGGCAGTGGTGTAACCCTGGACACCCTGTGCCCTGGCAGTGGTGTAACCCTGGACACCCTGTGTCTTGGCAGTGGTGACACGTGGTGCAGCAGGACTGGCCTGGGCTCAGGAGCCGAGCGCATCCCAGAGCAGGGCTATGTCAGGGCAGCCCGGGCCTGCACATTCCTAACACATCCAGGTGCATCCCAAAGCCATTACATTTCTCCTGAGTGTAGAGGTAGCCCTCGATGGTCGGCTGCCCAGGGAGCTTGCAGGTTAGGGGCGCTTCCTTCATCCTCTTCTTCAGGTCTTCCAGCTCCTCCCGCGTGCTGGAAAAGTGATTCCTTGTCTGGTAAGAGAAAACAAATAGAAGCACATTTGAATATGAGCAAAGAGTGAGCTGAAAGTATTCCTGGATAAATCTGAGGTGCTCTGACAGAAATTAATTGGTCCCCAGGATACAAAATTTGGAAGCCACTCCACAAATCCTCATGGAAACTCTGGCTATGAGAAGCATTGGGCTCTTAGAGATAACTGAAGAGGCAAGGTTTGACACAAGGTTTGACACAAGGTTTGACACAAGGTGCATGGAGATGGTGCTGAGGAGGCACAGCTGGGAGGCCACTCGTTCCCTCAGTAAAAGAACCTCAGCACATTTCTGGGCTGGGTGGAGCAGAGGCAGCACCTGAGATTCTCCTGGCACCATTGTTCAGGTGACAGGTGTGTTCTCCCAAAGGTGTTGATTCCTCAAAGGCTCCTGCTACACTGCTTGGCAGGGGAGTCCTGTCAACACAGGGTACAAAATCCAGGCATTTTGATGGAACACCACTTGGACCAATTAATGAGCCAGCAGCAAACCCAGCTTGGCTCAGCATTATGGTTGTTGTTCCATGGGAATGAGGGCCAGCAAGGAAAGACTGAGGATAAAGGAAACAGGACCCGGATATTTTACGCCATGAGCACACTTGGCCAGCAGAGGAGCTTACCAAAGCATGTAGTAAGCCTGTAGTAAGCCAGTATGATTAGGATCAAGGTTAGAGGCCTTTTCAGAGTACAATTTCGATCTCATTACACTGGAAGATAATCTCAGGTTTGTTTATGCACCAGGTTAAATGATGCGACTGCAACAGCCCCTCCCAGACAGAGGAAACACTCTCACAGGCCTGCGGACTCTGCTGTGCAGGAGAGGGGAAAACACAGTGAGCTGAGAAGAAAATAACTGTATCTGCAACCTCCCCCAGTGGAAACACAGCCAGGCTGCTCGGGTGGAAAGGCCTTGCCATCAGAGGCATGTAAATCCAAATGAGAACAGAAGTCAATGGAAAAGTCCTGCAGCTAGGCAGGGACTCACGTTCTGCAGGCTGAGCTGGAGCTGCTGCTTGTAGGGGAGAAAATCCTGTGTCAGCTCCACTGTCAGATTGTTGTAAGTGAAGAGGCTGTGGAGAAACGCCAGCACCTGCAACAAGGGAAAGGGCAGACTGAACCTCTGTATTTCTAATTGGAGGAAGGATGGACAGACAGCCAGGTTTCAGAAATTACAATTCTTTTTTCCTTAAAGCTTTGGAGTGATGCCAGCCTCAGCACGACTTATCAAACACACTGTCTCTAAAGCCCAGGCTACCACCCACACATCTGTCTGAATAAAACACTCCCAGAATAAAAGACCCTATGGGGAGACCCAGAGCAGATCTGGAGAGTGCTCATCCACAAAATCCACACGATCCCACCACACCTGGCACCTGGGCAGAGCCACCACCCAGGTCCCTGTACTCGGCCACAGGCTGGGAGCACTGCAGGCCAGGCTGTGACAGGTGAGCAGAGCAGGTAACACATCAGCACACCTGAGCACCAGCCAATGAGGCTGAGAGAAAAGGAAGCTCCTACCGGCTCCACAATACTGAATTTCTTGCTTTCTTGTACTTCCTGGATCTGGTAGACATACTCGAGGGAGGACTCAAAGAAATTGTGTCTCTCTTTGTCCACCTGAAGGTCAGCCTGGAAGAAGGAGGGAGAGGTGGAAAAAGAAAATACATAACATGTAGTTTTACAATACTTGAGTTGCTTTTGTCTGTCAGCCCACAGGTAGCTTTGTCCTCACTAAAAACAGCCTGCCAGGTCTCCAGTCCAGGTTTGAACTGGGGTATTGGATATTCTTCTCAGTTTGCCTATTTCTGCCTCCTTTTCATTCATGGATCCAGAACCTCACCCCACTCTGCAAGGACAAGGCCTTCACAAAGCTCATTTGTTATTTTAGCACAAGCCCTTTCTCCACCCACAGCCCTGGGAGGACAAGGTCACTGTCACCACCCTCTTGCCTGACTCCATCTGCAACCTGGAACCAGCAGTTCCAGAGCTGCAGCAGGGCAGGACCACGGGACACATCTCCTCTGCCTGCCCCCACAGCCACCCAAAAGCACCAGCAGTGAGACAACAGCAGGTCAGCAAAAGGAATAATAGCGGGTTATTTCAGCCAGAGCAGCCCCCCAGGTGAAAGGGTGGCCAGTCCCCAGCTGTGCCAGTGCCCCTGGTCACTGTCCTACACCATGAGGGTGGCAATAAGTTGACAACCATAAAGCCACTCCCAGCACCCAACACACACGGAGAACTACGAGTTTGATTTCCCTGGCCTCGCCCAGAGAATCCAGGCTTTGAGTAGATTTAACTGATTATCAACTTCAACAGATAACTGGAAGGAATAATTCCCCCCCAAAATTTTTTTTTTAAGATCTAGAGCAGCTGGTAGTGTTGCTTCTGGACCCAACTCTGAAGGAAACTCCATCCACACCTCCTGTAACTGGGATTCCTTCTTTTTGGAAGACAAGTGCAGGTGGCGATCCAGCATAGAGTAAAACTTCTCACCATCCTTCTCAAACTTTTTCTTTCTTTCCTGTAGACGCAAGAGGTGAAACAGAACCTGTTACTGGCATTTTGCAGATAAGAACATGCATCAACACCAGATCCTTTATGCAACTCTGTATTACCATAGACAAATTCTGGTCAGCCCGGCCAGAACAGAAGGTCACTTCCCATTCATTCTGCCTTCACACCCCGTTGCCTAGCCTGGATGCAGTTACACCTCAGGACCCAGCTCTGGCAATACTCTGTGGCACAAGAAGTATTTGTCATGTCAGCATCGTGGCAAAAGCCCCCTGATGAGGTGTTGTTCCCCCTCTCAACCTCTTCAGTGTCCAGTAAACTTGAGATGTGCTCACACATCAAAACCCTGTTCACCATCTGCTGATGTGCTCAGCTCAGAAACAACAGGGCAAACACTGCAATGTCAGAAACACATCAGGGCCAAGGAAAGGTTTGTTAGAGTTTGGCAATTTTCTGTTCTCAAGCTTTTACTGTGTGTTTCTGAAGAGCAGCAAAAGGAAAGCAGAGGCCTGCAAGGGCGACACGTGGGCAGGAAGTCCTCGTGTCCCTGCCAGCAGTGGTGCAAAGAGAGCACAGACCAACAAGAGCAACCAGAGACACTCGAGAAGGAAGCCCTGAGAGCAGGCAGGGAGCAGCAGGGCTGAGGACCAGGATGTTGGTTCCTTCCTTGTACTGACTGGGAAACCACAGAGGACTCAGAAATCAAGACACAACCATGAGTAGAGCCCAGGTTGACAAATAGCCACATCAGACGGTAACTGATGTTTTAGCAACTAAATTGCTAAAATCAGGGAATTCCAGCCTGGCAGCAGCCTCAGAGCCAGATTCAAGCAGCTGAGCACTGGTGTGTACATACTGCAGGGTATATACAGGATGTCCAGATCCTCTATCTGGCTTTGGAAAGCTCAAGAAGGTAGAAGGCAGAATCAGGACACCCCAGCTTCCTGAGAATTAACGGTATCTTTCAACACCTACCTTCTGAAAGCCCTGAAATCCTGTTCTCTTGCCCCCACTCAGAAATCCATGGATATGCAAACACACACCAGTGCCACCACAAATCAGCCAGACTGGTGGCTACTAGGGATTTTCCTCATGCATTCAGTAGTGACTGCAGAGTTTGCAGCCTCCCCTGCCATGAAATTTTGCTTCCCCATTCCACTTGCATGGACTACTCCATTTGTCTGTCAGGATGTCCTACGTGGCAGGATGCCTGGGGGCTCCCAAGACCCATGCCTGGGCTCAACACGGTTGGCTCCTACTAACAGTAATAAGTGTTCCTGCCAGCTGCCTTTCCGGGAAAAGGAATTCTCACCTCACAGGAGTCCTGACTTGGCTGTTGGGAAAGCACAATTACCATGGGGAAATGCAGAGACACCAATCTGACTATTGCTGCTTGTATGTAACTGTCCAGAGCAGGGTAGGCTTAACCCAGCAAACCTTTTCACCCTAGCAATTACAACTGCTGCCCTGCAGCTCCTGGAATTACCAGAGCTCTGAAGGGAAGTGCATCTTCTGGAATCACCCCCTGCAATACTGGGTACTGTGACTCTGCATTAGCAACTTCACACCTCAGAACAGAGAGATCCACATCAAATCCAGAGGAGCAGGGAGTCCTCCACGGGTGATTCCTAATTTAAGCAGCGCTGCAGCTGCGGGGGCGAGGCCAGGAAGGACTGTCAAAACAAACCACCACCCTCGTGACTACCCCGATCAGCAAACCCAAACCCAGCGCAGTGAAAGCGTTTGCGGAGCTGCAGTTCCTGTGTCTGTCTGTAAGGTCACACTCCTGGGCTGCCTGGGCCATTAATGCCTGCCAATCATTCCCACTCGGACTAATTAGCATATAACTGAACAGCAGAAGGATGACCTACAAATGCCTCTGATTGCCAAGCCGAGGCTTCAACAGCTCCTTGGCCGCTGAACAAAGTGAGCCAAGACAAAAACCAACACAAAAACCCACCCAGACTGAAGCACAGTCTGGAAACATGAGCATGAATTAGTTCCTCATGAATATTCAGCAAAGGGCAGCACCACCTTCTCATTAAGGTTTGCCAAGTCCAAGAGCCACCCGACTTCCATTTATTGCTCACCGGGAGGAGCAGATCCCACAGGAGTGCAGGCAGGAGGGTGCTCTGTGAAAGCTCCACACTTGGAGCTTTGGCAGGTGCTGCTTTAACCAGGAATGAGCAGGAGCCCCCAGGAAAGCACTGGCTGCCTGGTCTGGCAGGTCATCCAGCTCCAGTGATGCCAGAACCCCTTGGCAGCCATCGGGTCCAGCTGACCAGGGGCCAAAGAACTTCCCAAAACTTGTCCTTAATCATTAGATGCTAATTAGGATCCTCTGAAATTCCTGTCCTAGGAGAGGTGGAGTGAGTGGCAAACAGGGAGCCTGTCTCACAGGGCCACTTCTCTCCTTTGCCTGCCGGAAGGCCCCACCTCCACACACACCTGAGGGGTTCAGGTGGAGGGTCAGTGGGTGCAGGATCATCACAACTCCTTTTTATAAGGCATCAGCAGTTAATACAAAAAAAGATAATTTCTAAAGAGTCAAGTTGAGGGGTGTAGAAAGAGCATTTCCATCAAACCCCACTCAGTTTATCCTGGTGTTTTTCCCTCACCCACTGGTTTCTCTCAAATGCTCCTTAGGCCTTGCTACCGCATAGACGAAAGCAAATAGAAGTTACTGTCTTCCCTTTCTTTTAAAATTATAATTAGTGAAACTAATAATAGAATTAACTAAGTCCTTTTATGAATACATTATCTCCTATGGAAGAACTTTTGACAAACACTGCAGCTATTCAGCATCCCTGAGCACAGTGAACATTCCTCCCACCCTTACAGTGCATCCAAAACAGTTTTTCCCCTCTGACTTTTCGGTTTGCTTTGTGTTTCTGCTTTTGTGTTTGGGTCTTCTTTTTTTAAAAAAAAATGCTGTCTCCTTCCAAGTGGAATTGGAACGAAACTTTTCCTATTCAAATCCTCCTCAACACAGTGAGTGCAGCCAGGCTCTTCCAAAAGTACTCCAGCCCCACAGTGTGGAGCTGAGTGCCAGGGCTGTGGGGAGGGAGGGACAGGCTCCCCGTGTGTGCTGGCTCCTTTCCACACTCACCCCCGCCATAAACCCCCTCCAGCTCCTCAGCTTTCAAGCAGAGGGAGGTGCCAGCGCTGGGAAATGGGTCAGCTCAGAGGGTCCTGGATCCTCGCTTTGATCTGTGACGTCTGCACATATACACATCGATCAGCAAGTCACGGGCACAGCAGTGATCCCACGGGGCTGTGGCAGGGCAAGGTGGCTGGAGGGGGTCCCAGTGACAGCCCGGGGGCTGCCCTGTGTGGGAGCACACCCTCTGCCCAAGCAGATTCCATTTGCCCCAGGAGAGCGGGTGAATGCGGCCTCAGATGTGCTGGTCAGACCGACTGGCTGCGCTCCAGCCAGAGGCATCACAAAGCCCCAATTCAAGGGCTCTTCCTATCTGGCTCCAGCAGCTCACACGGGGAACAGAAAACATTTCACAGAAGGTGACGCTGCCAAAATACGGAAATGAAGCAGAGGGCACAGATTCCCTGTGTCATGTCTCCAGCCTGTCCCACAGCCCAGCCCTGGCCTCTGCCCCTGGTGTGGATCAGGAAGGACTCTGGGGTGATGCCGGTGAGGGACCTGTGCTGACAGAGCCCCACTGTGAGGAGCCTTGTCTGTATTTCACACCTTCTGCTGTGGGGTGGGGATGAGCCAGAGGAGCTCTGCAGGCTGGCAGGTGAAGGAAGGCTCTGTGCCTGGAGCAATCCCTGAGGGTGCAGCCCACGGGCTCCGGGCCAGCGGGGTGGCACAGGCTCCTCTCAGGGAATCACTGGGGGTGAGGGCAAGGGGCTGGAATGGCTGAGGCTCCTTCCCAAACTCACAGTGCCTCCAGGCTGTGGGGCAGTGCTGGGAAGAGCAGAACCTCTCTGTGCATCCCCGTTGGTGGGGGCACACCCAGATCCCGGCGGGTGTGAGGTGCTGCCCTGTGAGCTCCCGAATGGAGCACTGGGGTGAGCCACGGCACAACCCTCTGCACACCTTGTATTCCTCACCAGAAACAAAACCCAAAGCCAAACCACGATGACCTCTGAGCCACTTGTAATGACTCCCTGCCTTCCACCACCTCTCCAACTGCTCTGAGCAGTGTCCTGCCACTGTCACCACACAACACATCCACCCGGAGGGCCCTGTCTGTCCACAGGGACCAAGGAAGGGCTGCAGGCTGTCAGGGGAATGCATGTCAGTGCTCAGGGCCCCCCACTGCCAGGGTACAGCACCAACCCTGCTGGGCACAGCCACTCTGGAGTGGGACACGGGATATGTGGCCCCTGGGTGGAGGCAGCTCAGCTCCTGGGGCACAGCACACTCTGGGCTGTGGACAAAGGGATCCTTACACACCATAAGGGCTCCCTGGGAAGGAAACAGTCTCAGGGACACGAGACCAAGGGCTGTGGCTGCGGCTCCTCAGAGGGTTACACACACCCAGCGTGCAGGGAATGGCAAAGGGTAGGAGGGTGATCGAGTACCTCTTCTCAAACCCTGTATTTATTAAAAGTCAAAGCCTCCAGATGGGCTGGGCTGAATCCAAGCCTCAAGTGTTCTCCAAAACATCTCCATTTCAGAGCTGGGTCAGAGCCAACCCCATTTCAAGCTGCTGCCGAGTAATGTGGAACCTGGATTTCTTGATAGCAGACAAGGGAAAAATTACCTTTTCTGTTCCACATGTGCAGAATTTGCTCTTTATAGTTTGTTTCTTTAAAAGTTTGGTCCAACTGAAGGACTCATTAGATGCTTTATATAAATATTTCATAACAAATGCCCTATGACTATAATCAGGTTCTGCCTGTTGGCCTTTGCTTCTCTCCCCTCTTCCCTTCCTTCCTCCCTCCCTCCCTCCCCCTCTACCACACACTTCTCTGCAGAAAGTATTTTATTCTCAGTAGCACTGAGTGAACAAAGGGGAGAGGCAAGAAAGCAGCAAGGAGGACCTCCTGACCGAAACAAGCACTCCTTGCTCAGAATGGAGAGTTTGGGAATCAGGCCAGGAGAGAACCCAAAGAATTCAGAAAAGGTTTTGGAGCCTCTTATGATTGAAAAATCAGACTAAAAGTCACAGCACGAGCCCTTGTGCCAGCGGCTGAAAGCCAGCATTGAACAGGGAGTTTCTGAGAGCCTGAAGTCAGAATGTAGTACAGCAACTGTCTGCTTGTTCATAACAGGAGAAAAATCTGATTTCAGACACAGTAACAGAAAACAAATCTGTTTACATTGAAAAGAAAGAAACAAACAACCCTTACCTTAGTAAAGCCTATCTGCTCCTTCCGGAAGTTTTCCAAAGGTTTGATCAGCAAATCACTCGCATTCTGCACCTACAGTGCAAATTAAAATCACTTCAATTGCAGGACATGGATCAGTTTTCTCCTAAACAGAGGCTCAACAGGGCTAGAAGCCAAGAACTCTCAGATTTTAATGTGTTTGACTGAAAACTACTCTGTCTGTAGGTGAAGTCAACCCATCTGTGCCTGCTCTTCCCCATCAGTAACACCCAACAACCCCCAACCACAGCACAGGAGGCCTTGGGGACATGCCCCATCCTGATCTTACAACACTGCTCTCAAAAAATGATAGACTTCCCTTCTCCCAAGATCCAGTCAGATCCAGCTAGGGAAAAGAAAAAGCCTGCCTGTGACTCTTCCACTCCTGTCTCATGTCTGAGAGATGCTTTCCTGGGACATGCTCTGCACTCCCTTTCCATGAATCCACAGGAAACTCACTGGCTCCAGCTCCCCCCCTGGCATTGGGATCAATTTTCCGTCTCTTCCCATCCCACTTCTGTGACAGGCTCTGTCCCAAGGACCAGTGAAGGGAGAAGGGAAGAGAAGGGGACAGGACAACACTCTTCCACAGCCCTTCAGGGAATTTAAAGCTGATAAACATGGTGAGAGTGTGAAACATCCTGAGGGGCTGCTGTAAACAACTGATCCTACAAGTGGAGGGCAAAAATCCCCAACTTTGGAAAGCTGGACAGCACCCACAATACCTGAAACAATTCCTTCCACTGCTTCCCCCACTGCCAAAGAGCCACTGTAATTAATAATACAGAAGTATCTCACGCTTTCCTGGTTTCCTGCCGTTCCCTGCCTGCCCATGGACCCTCTGGCACAGCCGCCCCTGTGGCACTGGCCCAGCCTGGCACGAGCTCCCGCAGCCGCACGAGGCAAAGGAACACAGAGCCAAGCAGCACATTCCTGGCATGCTGTAAGCTCTTCACCAAGCCTAACCTTCATATTTTTCCTGGAATTAGGAGTGAGATGGGAAGCCAGCACTTGCTCTGGAGGAGCTCTGGAGAGGCAGAGGGCACATGGCAGCGGGAGGCTGATGGCAGGGCATGGCCCTGCAGGAGCTGGGCTGGCACGGGCAGGGGATCAGTGGCACAGGGGCACTGCCTGCCTGCACCAAGCAAAACCAGAGCAAAACCACATCTTATTCTTTGATGCCTGGTTTCAGCACAGAACTAGTTGGTGAGGAGCTCAGACACACCTGGCCCTGCAGAGCCAGCCTGCTCCTGCTGCTGGGCCGGGGGCTCCGGGACTGCCTGCACACCGCAGGGGTTTGGGACACTGCCTGGGACACCTCAGCCCTCCCCACCCCCTGCCTCCCCTGTGCTCAGGGCACCATGGAGCAGACATGGTACAAAGCACAACATTCCCAGTGCTCCCAGCTTCCCTGCTGTGGGAAGCCTGGCCACAATTTGGCATTTAACCATGGTGGGAATGACAGAGCCCAGTTTTGATCACCTTACCATCATGGACCTCTCCAGCTCTACCTCTTGCAGCAGCTCTGCAAACTCCTTAAAGGACTCAGCTGTAAGAAAAGAAGAGGCTGGTCAGGAGGGCTGGGACACGGCACCGGAGTGTGGGACACGTGCTGGGACACCCCAATGGGGCTGTGCCCCCAGCACGGCCGGCTAAAGCCTTGCCAAAAACAGAGAAGAGGTGGCCCCTTTTGGCAGAAACTGGGTGAGGCAAAGCCACATGCAGGCTGGCCACAAGGAGTATTTATTTATGCACTGGAGAAGGGTATTTATTTATGCACTGGAGAAGGAGCAATGAGGGAGAGAAGGCCCTGGAAAGGGAAAAGGATGTTAATTAGCTTTCATTAGGAAAGGTGGCAGGGAAGATGCAAACATGGGGAAGGTGTAGCCACTGCCCCCAGGGCCAGCAGCAAGACAGGCTCTGCCATATAAGAGGCTATGGGCAGGATGGGGCTGCCTCTCCCACCTGGACAGCCACTGGCAGCACCAGGATGGGCCTGGCACCTCTGGCCTGGGAAAAGTCGTAGGTGCTCACCAGGACAAGTGTGTAAAATGAAAACAGCCTGGAATGACAAAGGTCACATTTAGTGACACAAAGTCCGTGTACAGGAGGAAAGGCAACAGGTGTAGAAATGGTCATAGACACTGACACCACTCCCCAAAATGTTAAAAGTGAAACAAAAGGATCTCACTGATCAGCAGTTAGAGTCCAACTACAATATAAATAGCAAGAAAGCATTCCTTTAACAATCTGAAACTAGACTAATTTAGCCTGGGGAAAAAGAAGACTAGGTTGGAGCAACTGACTTTCCCCACACCAAGAGGGAACACCCAGCCCCTGTCCCTGCCACACCGAAGGAGAATTCAGGAAGGAGTTGAATTTGTCACAGGGAAAGAAACATCTCAGCAGCAGAGCACTGACAGTGCGGAGCTGAGTGGCTCTGCAAACTCCCAGCTCTCTGGGCTCCAAGGCAAGGCTGGGCCAACATCTGCCCATGCAAACACTGTGGCTGTGTGCTGGATGCCCGAGGGAACAACCTGATTACCGCAGTGCACCTGGGAACCACCTGGAGTTAGCTGGGAAAGCTTCCCACAGTTCCAGCCTGCTCAGCGCAGCGTGGGATGGGTCTGACGGGTCCCACACTCCCCCTTGGCCTGGTGTGTACGGCACAGCATGGCTCTGTCAAACCCCCCGAGCTCTGTGCCTGCAGGTCACACCCTCCCTCCCTGTGGCTGGGCCGGGCAGGCAGCACACGAGAGAGCACATCAGGTGTATGGTGAGGCATGGACAGGAACAGCTCATCCCACAGCTCAGGGGAGAGGGTGCTCCTCTGCCCTCTGTGCAGGCTGAGGGCCCCCTCCCCTCGTTCACAAGTGGCACCTTCAAAGAGGTACCTGTCCTGCTAAAATCCAGCGTGAGAGGATTCACTCTGCAGCTGCTGAGACAGACACAAAGGGAACAACCGCAGCCTCGTGACACGGGCCCTCAGCCGGCAGCAGCACAACAGACCTTCTTGATGAGTCAGGAACTTCTGAGCTCTCCTCCAGCGAGGGCTCCAGCAGTGCAACAGCCGCTGGCTCATCGTGCTCACCCCCAGGGCCACGCGTGGCTGTCGCTGCGGCTGCCCAGGCCACGGGAAACCCGGAGCACACGGACACCAGTGGCCTGAGCCAGGAAAGGAATTATCACAGGGAAAAAGAGAATACAGCCCTGAACTTGCAGGGAATATGTCAGTACCTAAAACATTCCCTAGCTGGTTTTTCCCCTTTGCTCCACAGGAAGAGCCCAGGAACGTGTTTCCTGGCTGCAGTCACAGAGCAGCCCACTGAGTTTGTCCCTGCACCACACACACAAGGCTCGGATGCTGCTGCCAGTCCAGCAGTGCCCGGGAGCACTGGGATAGATCTGTGCTACTGGCCTGGGTCAGCACTTGCCAGCCCCTGCAGCACAGCCACCACCTGCCCAGCCATACCTGGGAACCGACACCTGGGAATGCTGGAGTGACCCAGCTGGGCAGCCAGAAGTACTGCAGGAACGTCCTTACTGCCAGAGGATTCCAGGCTCCCATGCCTGGGAGGGAGGAACATGCCATCCCATTTCACTGCTCCCTTCATCTCTGAAGGAGTTGCTGGTTCGGGTCCTATGTGGTGACAGTGGAGGGACCACAGGAGGGACCATGGGAGTGACAGTGGAGGGACAACAGAGGGGACTGCAGAGGGGACCACAGGGGGGCTGCAGCCCTGGGGTAACGTGGGTGTGTCTGTAACCATTGACGTCCCCAGGGGAAAGTGCTGCTCGTGACAGACAACACCAAAGAAGACAAAATCAACCCAGATTCCTGACAGCCACCCGGCCAGGCGTCCGGCTGCTCTCTGCCCACACAACGAGAGCAGCACGTCTTTAGCTCTATTTATTTGCAACCCAAACACGTTCCCTGCAGCTTGTAAGAAGTGCCTGTCAGTGTTTTGCTTCATTCCCATATCCTGCACATCAAATGAGCTCTGTGCTCCCACGCAGATCCCTGGCACCCTTGCAGGAGATGGAAGCTGCTACAGAGACGTCAACGCCCTGCTGCTGTGTCAGGAATAAGGGAGCCTCAGCCCCAGCAGGCACAGCAGGCCCTGGGTGGGAGGAGGAACACAGCCCAGGCTTCTTCCTGGGGAAACCAGGGACCTCTTCTTGAAAAGGCAAAAATACTCCCCAGCAAAACTGAAGGGAAACGTGCCTCTTTTCACACGGAGGGTTTTATATCTGCTATGATCTCTCCTTCTCTCACCCGCCCACGATCCCTCCCTTTAACCTCTGCCATTCCCAGCAGTCTCACTTGGCTGTCGGAGCTTTGCCCCTTCCAGCTAAGAGGAGGGACACTCCTTTCCTTGGGAGGCTGTTTGCCTCAGACCTCTCTGCTCCCAGGAGAGGCATTTACACAGCAGTGTTCTCCCCTCCCTGACTCAGATGTGTTTGGAAACTCAGCACCTCTGCTGCCATCAGATTTGGAGGCTGACTCATTTCCAGCATGTTTCACCTAGAGACTTTCCATAAAGGAAACCAGCCTCGGAGGGGCAGGCTGCAATCTGCTTCACATGGCTTTAAATACAGCAGCCCAAGGAACAGGCTCCACTTCCTTCCCCTTCTGATGGCGTCCCAGAGATCTGAAACCTGACATCAGCCATGTCCCCCTGCAGCCGCTCTTCAACCACCGCCTGACAAAAGCTGCTTTTCTTTGTTCTTTTCCCCTGTGTGCAGTCCCGGAGCAGTCTGGCAAGACACTGTGCCCCACCTGGTGAATGCCCCGTGCCTCTGCCTACTGACTGCCCTGTGCCCCCCACGGGCAGTCCCAGCCCCTCAGCCCAGGCAGGTGCCCCAAGGGCTTTGTCTGACGGGGCAGGGTCAGACCCTCGGGGGCTGGAGGATCCCCTGTCATCCTCTGCAGCTGGCCACCCCTGCAGCAACCCACCACCCCCTGCCACCCCTGCAGCACCCACCCACCCCCTAAGCCAAGAGCAGATGGATGTGAAACATGGGTTTGGGGCACTGGGGTGCCTCAGCTCAGCTCGCAGGGCAGTGGCCGCTGTGTGACCCACAGAGCTGTGCTGGGGGAGGGCAGGGATGGAACAGGGCTCCAGGATCACTAATCCCCAAACAGATGTGTGGGGAGCAGCAGCCCCACACTCCTGCCACATGCTGCCTGCCCAAGGCACAGACTGGCCATTGTTTTCCCTATGAGACACATCCAGCCATCCTTTTTCCCAGCAGTCTGCGGCCCAGTCCCTTTGCAATGTGGGGCAGGTTGTGCAGTGGAGTGAAGGCAGCTTTGGGAGCAGCACCCACTGGGTTCCACTGGTGGCACTGGGAAGTGGAGCTGGCTGGGAGGCCAGCACCACATTGCCTCCTCCCCAGCACATGGCAGCATGGAGCAGGCCTGGAGCCACGGAAAACCTCCACATATTATCCGCTGAATTGGGAATGTGAAACTCGACCCGTGACTGTTCAACTTCATAAAATAGGCTATGGAAGAGCTGCCTGGAACCCAGCTCCTGAGGCTGCTTAAAAACCATCAGGCAGGCTAATTTGTAGAGAGGGAGACTGTTCCAGTTACTGAAAATCAGCATCAAAAAAGCAGAGAACTCACCAATATTAATCTCATCATCTGTTAGTGTGTCACCAATGAAGTCAAACTGGAAGGATTGCAGGGTCTGGGAGAACTTCTGCACCGCTGAGGAGTACCCTGGAAAAGGACAGAGCAATCAGCTGTGGGTTTCTGCAACAGTTCTACAGAGGCTGCAAGTCTGTAACCATAGTGAGGTGGTTAGGAAAATCCAAAGGCATCAGGAATTTCAGCGCTGCAGCAAATGCTGCTGCATTAATAATCCTCAGAGGCTGCAGACAGAGCACTGGGTTTGGGGTTTTTTTCTCTTTGAAAAAGCTTCTGCAGCATTAATGGATGTACTGCACGGTACAACTACTGTCCTGCCATGTACAGGAAGGGACACTGACACACTTCCCTGCAGGAAAACATGCAGGAGATACTCTGGGGCTCTGTGTGCATCAGCACAGCTCCCTGGAGCATGGGGGCTGTCAGACAGCCTGGCCAGTGTTCACAGAAATTGTTTTGTTATAAGTGAGAAAAATCTGTAGAGTCAGAAAATAAACATGAGAAAAAAGGCAGAACTCAAAATAACTGTCCCTCCTGGAGGTCACGGACACAGACAGGCCCTGAGGGAAGAGGGACAGTGCCACAGGGAGCCGGGGGCTTGGCTGGGCTCACCCGGGCACCTGCTGCTCCCGCTGCTGAGGAACCGTCTGGGCTGGAAGCAAAGACACTGTGGCCTGGTGGTGGCTGTGGCTCAGTCCAAATTATTTTTGGACCTTCCAGAGAAGTTTCTGGCCAAAAGAAAGATCCTTTGTGCTTTTGCATCCTGCACAGCTGGCTCAGAGCCCCAGGGCAGTGGCTCCTTTGTCAGATGGAGGAGCCCTGGGACAGGGCAGCAACACTGCAGCAGAGCCCAACCCAGTTACCCACCCAGGGCCAGCAGGGAAGCACTGGTGACACTTCATCCAATCAACCACATCTTCCTGCACAAAGCTACATGCTCTCTGGGGGATAAGGCCTTCTCCAATAGCAAATTCCCGAGATACAAACAGAAGGAGGCTGTACTTGCCTGACCTCAGGGAATAGCATGTAGGCAACAGGACAAAAGCAAAGGAATAATTTTATATTCTTATTTACATCACTATTTTCCCTATTTTGGGACTCCAGCCACAGGCACAGCCCCAGGCTGGACTCCTTTGTGGGGGTACACTGGAGATGGTACTTTTTGAAGTTCAGGAAGCGGCAAGTGGTGAAGTTGTGGCAGCACAGACATTGGTGTGCAACCAGCTCCCACCCGGGGTTTGCTGAACCAGGAGAGCAATTGCTGTATAAAAAACTTCGGTGTACATGGCTGGGTTTTTTTTAATTTGAACATAGAACTTAGTGCCACAGTGGCAATCATGAGGTGTTCTGAAACACTGCTGTGAAGGAGAGAGAAAAACTGGACAACACTGAAATGAATGTTGAGGAAGACAAATCAAGTGGCCCACGTGTGATATTGGCAGGTCCCCGGACTGCTCTGTTCCCCTGTCCCTAGGTCAGGAGTGCCCTGGGTCCCCTGGCCCTCCCCAGGGTCCCCAGACAGGAGGGGTAGGGGGATAGGCAGGTACCCAGCATGGGGAGGAGCGTGGGCTCAGAGCACAGTCCTCGCTTCCCCCTCAAAAGCCTCCTTCAGCAGCTCCCTCTGATGGGTCAAACCTTTGCTCCTGAATGAGCAGATTCAGGCCTGAATGTTGCTATTTAGCCCCAGCTGCCAGGGGCTGGAGCACGTAAATGGGTGAACTCTCACACAGAACCATGTCATTGACTTGATGGAAACCCTCAGCAAATAATCCCCCTCAGTCCCCCAGCGCTCACTCAGGCTGGGCCGGAGGCTCATTCAGCCCTTGCTCAGGGGGAGCTTTGTTCGTTCCCCTGCAAACCCTGAGCTGCTGCAGCCCCATCCAGCCCCTCCACTGCTGTTATAAGGGGGTGGCCTCCAGTCCCTCCCTCCGAACACCCCTCCCGGCCCAGTGTGGGTCCCGGAGCCCCCCCGAAAGCAGTGTCACTGAGGCGGCTCATCACAGCACCCCCGGCCAGCACCCGTCCGTCTGTCCACCCGTCCGTCTGTCCACCCATCCATCTGTCCACCCGTCCGTCTGTCCCCCCAATGTTTGCTGGCCAGGGGAAGGGGATGAGGCATCGGGAGGCTCTGGCTTTGTGTCCCTGTGAGCGAGGAGCGTGGCAGCACACGCAGGCCCTGCACAGCACGCTGTGGGGACAGAGGGTCTGCACATGCCACGTTTCCATGTCAGCCCTGCAGCAGGGAATGAACTGGCAAGCTCCTGCCTTCTGGGTTTTACAGAAACGGGGGGAAGGGCCATGGCAGAGAAAGGTTTGAAAAGACAAACAGCATATTTTAACCAGAAAAGAAGAAATAGTATAGCCAATTTAAGTTACATTTTCCTTTCAAAATACATCTGGTCTGGAAGTTTGTTTGCCAAATGTCCAGCTGAAGGAAACCCAGGTGCACATACTCACATCAGCTTAATAGTGAAAAACACAATGGATGCCCCACAGTTAGCCCAGTGCTGTTTGGCTGCACTTGGAACAAGGAATCTTTTTCATTTTGGGGAGCCATCCTTATCCTTACCCTCACCAGTGAGGTGTAGGAAGCCCCGGCTGCAAGTGGTGACTGCTGAAGGCAGGTGGCTGCCAAAGACATCCCTGGGGTGGCACAGCCCTTCCCTTAGGGAAACAACTGTGGAAGATGAGAGAAGGAGAGGGAGAGGGAGAGGAAAGGGGGGAGAGGAAGGGGAGAGGACGAGAGGGAGGAGATGGAGAGGGAGAGGGAGAGGGAGAGAGAGAGAGGAGAGGGCGATGGAAGGGGAGAGAGGGAGAGAGGGAGAGGAGCAGCGGAGAGGAGAGGGAGAGGGAGAGGGAGAGGGAGAGGGAGAGGGAGAGGGAGAGCCAGCACTGCACATGTCTGAGGAGATCTTAATGGAAACCAGGCTCCTCCAGATCAAGGTGACTCAGCTCCTACACGTAGGGAGCCTTTGCTGAACCCCAGCTCCTGACAGAGACCCTGTGTGCTCGCACAGACAGCCCCACGTGCTGCTGTGGTGCCAACACAGCTTTGGGGTGTTCCTGGGACAGGAATGGGGCTGGCTGATTGGGGTGTTCCTGGGACAGGAATGGGGCTGGCTGACTGGGGTGTTCCTGGGACAGGAATGGGGCTGGCTGACTGGGGTGTTCCTGGGACAGGAGTGGGGCTGGCTGACAGCTGGTTCTGCCGCAGCACTGCCTGCTGGCACCGGCCACCACAGGAACAGAGGATGCTCCTGCCTGGGCCCAGCACAGGGACAGTACCAGGGCCTGAGGCAGAGCACTGGGGGGCACATCACCCCTTCCCTCAGTGGCATCTGAACAGCGGTGTGGTGACACCAGGGATGGGGCGGGGCAGGCGTCCATGCAGAAAGGGATGAGCCATGGCCACAGGAAAGCGGCTTGACCGCAGGAAGGGGCCAGCAGGAAGAGACTTGCTGTGTGGAAAATTGGGGCTCCATCCCATGCTGGGAGAGATAAGTCCGTATTGTCCCTCATTTTAACAGACACTCGGAAATGTTTTCCCTCCCGATACAAACACTCAGCTGCCAAACACCCTCGCTCTGCACCCCCAAAGCTTGGCAGGAGGGAGAGGCGGCTGGAGGGCCTGTCCTGCTCCCCCAGCACCAGGACCCAAGGCTGAAGGAATAATGCCAAGCTCCAAGCTGGAATGTCCCTGAGAGCAGCACACCAAGGCTCAGCACTGCCAAGAGCCCCAAGGACCCTTGCTGCTCGTGGTGCAGCTCAGTCTGTTTCCATGGAAACACACCAAAATGGATTCAATCAGGAGTCCTCAAGGACTCCTCCTTCCAGCCTAAGATTGTCATGCCAACTCTTACCATTTGTGGTCACAATTCTTTACTCTTCTAATAAAAATGAAGTTCCATTCCTGCACAGAGTCCCACAGCGGGGCTGTGGGGCAGGAGTGGGGAGCACCAGCATCAGTGCCAGCCTCAGAAGCCACACGGAGAACTTGGGGCTGTATTTATGTGTAAACACACCTCCAGAGCCAACAGCTCAGGAAGGATGTGCCCCACACACAGCCTGCTCAGCAAGGACCTGGCAGGATCCTCACTTCAACCTTTCACAGCAACCACAGGTAACCAAAAACCACAAACAAAAAAGTGCTGCTACCGCTGCAAAAGCCACAGGCCTCTGACAAAGCAGAAACACAAACGGAGCCCCAAACCAGGCTGTGCTGCTGCTTTTTACCTCAGTGCTTAGAATTTAAACCAGAAGGAAACCACCACCACAGGACAGAGCTGTGGGGGACACAGCCCCACACTCCCCCTCACACTCCCAGGGTGAGCAGCCTTGGCTGGAGAATGGGGCAGGAGGTGCCACACCAGGGGCTGTGATGCTCCAGGTGTCATAGGTGCACATCCTTAATTAGCTTTGTTAATTGCAACCCACAATCACAATCTCTGTGACTGCAATGGTCCTCTGTTCCCAAGAGAGGAAACCATGTCCCTGAGCACACAGAAATAGAAGTGGCAGTGACAATCCAGTGGTGACAGCTACGGGGACCAGCAGAATTCGTGCACCACAGGAGGAATGTGCTTGGGCTGCCTCACTTAACACCAGAGGCCAGGCTGCCAGCACCCTCACCCTCCTCATCCACACCCAAATAGTCCCTGCTCATATGACATTGGTTGGCTGTGCAGCAGCTGCTACAGCCAGCACCACCTCTGCTTCTTCCTAGGACACAGCCAGGTGGGAATTGCTGCTCCTCCAGAAGGTCAGGGGCTGAGCAGACAGTGGGTTCAGCAGCCCTTTGGCTAATCTTCATCACATGCCACTCCCTGGGCATCACATTGCAAATTAAGGAGGAAAAACTAAAATAAAAGGAACCCCCCCACACCTCAACACCATGGCAATCATTGGCCAGCAACAGTCCCAGAGCAAAGGCATTCCTGAACTTAACCTGATCCCACTGGGGGTGTGAACAGCTGAACAGTGATGGGGCTGCAGCATCCCCTGTTCCTGGGAAGGGATGGGATGTCCCAGTCCACACCAGAAGGTGGGAAGTGACTTCAGCTGGTCTCCCAGCTTGGGGAAGAGCAGGCAGCAGAGACTTCCATGGGGGAACAAGCCATTCCCAAGCTTCTGCCTCCATCTGACCCACAGATAGCAGCGCCAGGTGCCCTTCATGCAGCAGCTCAGCCACAACTTCAGCAACCCGTGAGGAGTCCCATAAGGAATCAAAAAGGAAAATCCAAACCAGGTTTGAGCCGTGCCAGTGCAAATGACCAGAGCAGATGTAAGCAGGAGCTCCACCTTTGCATTTTGCTTTCTTCTCCAGCTTGAAAACAGAACTGTTCAACCCAGCCATACACTTACAAATAAGCAAACAAAAGACAATAAAAGTTCATTCTGCCCTTAAATAAGAGCATTTTAAGACAAAGACAAATTTTCAGGTTAGATCTGAACTCTGGAAATCCATTTTTGTCAGGGAAATGTTGCAAGACCCTGACACACAGCAGCTGAGGACACACCTACATTTCCTTCCAGTGGTCCCTATGGACCATTTCCTCCTCCCCCATGGAGTGCATGCACAGTACATGCACAGCATGAGAAATGCCAGTTTTCCCCAGCATGTAGGGAGAGGGCTGTGATCCCTGAGGGGAAAACAATGTGTTCATTGTTACCAACTCCCACCAAAGAATTCCCCAGGGAACTGCATCATGGAGATGGAGCTGATCCCCGCTGCTGCCTCACAGATGATGTTCTGGACTCGGTACCTGACCTGCTGCTTCCCAGGGATTCTCTGTCCTTTCAGCAGAGCTTCAGGAGCCGACACACAAAGCGTTTGGTCAAGGGGCTGGAGTCTGCTCCGAGCTGTTGGATTTGCACTGTGTGTACTAACTGCATGAAAACCCCAGTCTGTGTCCCACCAAAATACCTCAGCTCCGAAAGCCATGAGCTCCCCCGGCCGAGCCGGATGTACCATCAGGATCAGCAGTAACGAGCCCTGACTCACAGAACACTCCCAAATACTCCACAGCTGCTCAAACACAAAAACATGTTGATTTTCTCAGATGAGGAAAAAAGAACTTCCCGGACGGCCTTCTAGGTAGTCCCAAATCCACACCAGCATCCTAGGAGGAATCCAGCCCTCCTGTTGCTGCACAGAGGAGAGATGCTCACCATTAGGGAGTTACAGAGCGGCCCAGGACAGGCAGTGCCTGGCAGTGACCCAGGGCAAGTTGTCCGCAAGTGCCCCCGAAGGCTCTGTGGGGACTCGGAAATCCTGACACGTTGGACAAAGGCCATTTTTCCCACACTGACACGGGTTTTCCACTTGCCAGGAGTAAGTGGCTAGCATGAACTGCTAAAAATAGCTTGCTATATTTAGCTGTGCTTTACAAATCTCTTGCAAAGGAATTTACTGAACGTCTCACACTGTCACACATTTACCTCTCCTAATCAGGGCTTCACTGATCAAGTCATTCATAAGCTGCTGCTTCCCTGTCTTCTCCAGGGAGAAGAGCAAGGCTGTACTCCCAGTACAAAGACAATTTTCAGTACTTCTCCCTACACAGTGACCTTTTGCTCTGCAAGCTGGTTACCTGCTCTCTGGACCACCACCTCCATTCACATATCCTCTCCCACTCTCCCTCCACCCAGTTTCTGGTTCCTGTCCTAAACTTCATCTCATATTCTCATAAATTCTCCTCCTTGCCCAGGCAGCCTTGTGGGAAATTCCTGAACTTGCTCGACAGGCTTATTTTCTTATTTACTCTTTAATTAAAAACCCAAGGACCAGCACAGCAATGGTTCACACTTATCATTTACTTCTCATGCCTGTCTTATCTCTCTCACTGCCTGTGGAAACCGGCTGTGCCGAACCTGCCATGCTCCAGAAGAGCTGGCAAGGGTTACGAGGCTGCACTGAAGCCCAAGGCAGTTAAACACACAGAGGGGCTTTCCTGGCTGCCTGGAACAGAAGGAGATCATGGGTCTCCTCACCAACAACTTGGAAGTTTGGCAACGTATCAGCCCAAAAATCCAAGCAAAACACAAAGCAACCAAGCAAGGCTGGAAGGACAACAAAGTTTTGGGGTATATTGGTCTGTTTTGGAGAAAACTGGGAGTGAGTGATCTGGGATACAGGTTCTGGGGACAAGGGTGCACTCTTCCCCTCCACTGGATTAAGTGATCACTAATTATCCAGTGTCTTTTTCCTGAGACCTCCACTGTGACAGATCCATTGATCAGGAAGAGACTCACATGGCAGAACCAATTTTAAAGCAAAAACATGGAACACACCATTCTAACAGTGACACTCACTGGATTGTACCAGTTTCCTGGAGAGTGGCACTTGGGGCCCTATTTTTAATGTTTTTATAAAGGACCATGTGTCCGACTCATTTTTCTTTTATGATTTTTGCTTCTGAAACCTGAGGGCAGCACAGGGCCCTGCCTGGCCCAGCACAGCCACGACATCTACTCACTCCATGTGCAGCTGCACAGCAAAATTCCTGCAGGCACCAGCGCTTCCCTTAGTGCTCCTTGGGATGAGCCAGGGGTAAAACTGCACTTTGGAAGCCCAAACTCCTCAAAGGACAGTTTTTCACCTTTGGCATTTTTCTGGCCTTTTAAACCAACCTTGCAGCTCTGCAAAGCTGGAGCAGTTGCTTCAGCAAAACTGGAAAGAGACACAGGGCAGCCAGCCCAGAACACGTGGGCAACTGAAATGGAGATTAAGAAAAGATGATGGCCTTAGAAATCGGCAAAAGCAGTGAAATGTGCATTAAGAAATAATGCAACTACTTTTTGAGCAAATGCTCCCAGAGTCGCAGAGGCAGAGAAGAGTCACCAAGGAGGAAACAGCATTGCAGCCCTTTGGTCTACCACGGACTGAAGCCCAACTGCAGGGCTGGTGCTGCTACACCTGCAAGAATTTCAGACCACCTTGTGTCCAAATCCAACTGTCACTACAGCAGGGAATTGCTTAGCACTGCCCTGTAGTGTGCTGAACCTGGCAAAGGAGGGAGAGCCACAGCACGGAGACACTGCCCAGCTCCAGGGGCACTGGCGCTGCTGACAGAGGTGGTACTGGTGTTCCTGTGCTGGGCAGTCAGCAGCTCCCAAACCCCTCACGGGAGGCTCCAAGGGCGACAGCACATGGCTGCTTTCCTGCCAATTCCCCAGGCAGAGGCTGCTGGACACCTGCCCCTGCAGAAGGGACAGGGATGGCATTGCCTGGCGAGCTGGGATGGCAGTGCCAGGTGAGCTGTGGGGAGAGTGGTGCCAGGTGAGCCGTGACTGTGGCAGACGGGTATCACTGCGGGGCTGGGGCAGGAAGCCAAGGTGGCCAGTTGGAATCAGGGTGAGGCTGGCAGGTGGCACTGGCTG